CCCCAGAAACCTAACCCTGAACCTATCCCTAGTGAGCACTGCAGGGCAATCCCTCCCACCCTTCCACTCAAACAGAAACAGGAAAAGGGACATAGGAAAATCTGGCCATACAATGCTCATTTTAAGAAATGTTAAATATATAAAATCTGTTTTCAAAAGTTCCAAGGTTGGACAAATATATAAAATCTGCTTTTAAAAACTCCAGGATTGGACACAGTGATCTTCTACTTCACAAGAAGTTAGATTGCCTTGGCAAAATCAGTGTTTCAGGATGTGTTTTGTAGATATAAATGTTAATTCATCATAAAACTGTTCCCAGCTAGACAAATCAGATGCTCTTAGATATCAGCCCAAACCAGCACACCCAGGTCAGGGCTTCATGTCCTGAAGGATTGTGCCCAGGCTGTAGAAAGCACAGTGGAAGGACTGTCCACGACAAACAAATTCTATCTGTAAATTTCATTTGAGTCTTAGATGTGACTGGTCTCTTCAAGCCAGACCTTGTGGTTTGGACTGAGCTCTCCAGACCTGCCTGGATCCGCTACCAGCGAGGGCACTGGCTCACCTTGACTCCCTGCAGGCTAGCCTGGTGGAGAATGGGCTGATGGAGAATGGGCTCTCAGTGCTGGACAGACACCCTGCCAGGCAAGTCTGCTGCAGATCAGTAGCTTCTTCAGCCACTGGGAAAGTGCAGATTTACCACGTTAGAGGTCACACTGCTATGGCTGGTTCCTGACAGCACTGAGTTAGGACCGGGGTCGAGTCAAACCAAAAAAAGAGGCCTCAGGTGACAGACTAAAGCTCTGGCAGCCAGGGGCTTGCAGTTACAGCTTTAAGCCAAACTTCTGACTCATGCTGAATGTGTGAACATGAGCAATGCAGTTGGCTCCTTGCTGCCTAAATCAGCTAGGCTGAATGATTGAGTCACCTCCCAAAATCCAGATGCGAGGTCTGAAGTGACCTTTCTAGAATAAATAAGAACAAGGCTGCCCGTTGCCTTCAAACTCAGCATATAAGTGTTAGTCTGTGCTAGAGAGCTGCAGTGAAGAGGATGAGGGAGAGAATGACATAAGTTCCCCCTTCCTCAGCACAGTGGAGAGCTTCTTGTAGAAATGAATGGGGCCTTTTCTCCCTTACACTGTGGGAATGCTATTTTCCAACGAGTTTGCACTCAGCTTGCCTAAATATACACTGCTCCATGACACAGCACACCAGTGCATCCAGGACATTGGAAGGAGAAAAAACCCATAGAATCATGCATAAATGGAGGTTGGAGTGGCCTCTGGAAGTCAACCAGGGTGACCTCTAATCTCTTTACACCCTAAGGACTGTCTCCAAAATTAAATCAGTTGGCTTACAAACCTCATTGAGTAAACTTTTTATGCCTCTAAAGAAAAAGAATTTGTGGGGTTTTTGAAAAACCTGTTTTAGTGTTCAACCATCCTCACTGAAGAAGTTTTCCTTATGTTTAGTCAGAATTTCCTTTGCTGCAGTTTGGTTTTCAACTTTCTCTGTGTACCCAGAGAGCTGTCTGGCCACATCTTCCATGTAGTTCCCTTTCAGGTTAAAAAAGTCTGTAGCTTTTGTCTTCTCCAGCCTAACCTCAGCCGTCTGGGTATTTTAGTGGTTCTCAGCAGGACTTGCTCCACCTTTTCAGCATCTTTCTTGCACCAGTGTCCCCAGGGTGGACACTGTAATCCATATGCAATTTCACTGGTGACAAATAGAGGGGACGAGTCTCTTCCCTTGGTCTGTTGGCTATGCTCTTCTCTTTTTGTGTATTCCAGTGTGCACCAGTCTCTGCAAGGGTATACAGGTGACAAACTCATCTTTGGGGTCCACCTCTGGTGAGATGCTGTCTAGCCAGTCAGCCCTCTCCTTGAGCAGTCACACAGGATTTTCTGTCCCAGGTGCAAAACATCAGGAGTGAATCTATGGCAATTAACACAGCTACAGCTTTGGCTGGAGCAGTTCATAGTCAGAGCAAGCTGCATGTGGAGGGTATGGGGGCTCAAAGATGCTCCTCTCTGCAAAACTAGGCAGGCTACAGGGGAGCTGGAATTCAGGGCTCTGTCTGGCAAACAGAGACATATCTGAACCACGATCACAAGAGAGGGAAAAAGAGGTCAACTGGATCAAAGATTTCCTCTTTTAGTGGTCTGGCAGGCTCCCCACTCTAGATGGGTTCCTGAGAATGGCCCTTACTGTGTGGACCTGTGGCTAAAGCTGCTCCTCAAAAATGGGAGGAAACATCCAAGTATGTACACCCCTGGAAGCTGAAGTCCCTGTTTTACCCATCCTCAAATGAAGCAGCAAGTGTGTTAGAAGCAGAAGAAAACTCTGGTTGCTGCTGTAACCTAATACAAACTTCTGTCTGTGAGTCCTGTTACAGCTGTAGAGCTGGTGCAGAGGGTTTTGACGCCTACTCTGTGGCCATCCTGAGTGGATACAGATCTCAGGATAAAGTCTGTGCCAAGGGCTATGCAGAGAACAAGGGAGCATTGAAAGTCAAGAGGCTACAACTTGCTTCTCAGCTTTCAGCATCCTGATGACCTTTAAGACAGAAAGGGGGACTTGTAATTGTCTCTTCTGAACCAACATGGGAATTTCTGCTGAAGAATCCAGGGAGCACATCCTGCCAGCACCTGGTCAGAGATTACTTGAAGAGAGGACTCAGCGCTGCCAATGGAGCATGAGACAACATGAGGACTCTGCCTTTCCCAGCTGGGCACCGTGAAAGTGTCTCTCTTCACCTCCTCCAAGTCTTTTCCCTGGAGTGTCTCATGTAAGTCAATGTTATGCTCCTGCCACATCCTGTAAGTGTCACAGCAGTGACACCTAAGTTAGATTACAAGCAGCTGGGGCAAATTCACATGAGTCCTGTTCCTAATGTGAAGTCAATTAAAATCAAGTAATGAAAGAAGCACATCTGGTTGCAGATATTCATGATAATAAAGAAACCCCCATTATGCTACTCACGCAATATAATTACTAAACAGCAATTTTTGAGATCACGTCAAGAAGTAGCTAGGGCCACAAAACTGAGATACTTGTTTTAAAGTGGATTTCAAGCCTTTAGAGTCTGTAGGTAAATAGACTACAATTTCTATTCAGATTATGAAGAGGCTAGATCTTAAACACAACATTGATTTGTAGAGTTAGTTCTGCATTTTGAACACCTGCTCTGCAGCAACTCTACCATAAACCATTACCTGTGGTTCTGATTTGGGGAGAATGACAAAATTAAGAGAGTGAGGAAGCTTTAAAGCTGGGATCCATCATTTCAGTAACCAGAGCAACACATCAACATCTTAATGACCTGAAGCAGCTAGCTCAGCCTGATTCCTGTGAATTTAACTTAATTTGCTCACTTTGAGCTTTTTTCTGTTTTATAATGTCTATGAATCATTACACCATCCAGAATTGATACAGACAGAATGCTTCCCTGGCTCAGAGATAACAGAGCCCCTTGCTTAGTCAGGAGAATGATTTAAGAAAATCAATGGCTTTGCTTTGGTTACAAAATAAATTTAGAAAATAACAGGGCAAGAGATAAACAGTTGGAATGCCAGCAGGGGGATGTTTCATTTGACTTCCCTTATACACCAAAAGTTTGCCTGACAGCAATTAGATAAACAGGTTTCTCAGCAACAACGGATCTTAGGCAAAGTCCTATAGCTATTATTCCATCACTAAAATATTATGAACAATCATATTAGGGACTTGCCTTGCCCAGTAAGGGAGCCCCACGCACCCTTGCATTGTTCACCCTAATACAGGACTGGAGCTAGGACTAGCCTAGATCTTCAGGCCACATGATATTGATAGAATGACAGCCTTAACTTACAAAATGCTTGCAGTTATCTACAGAGCTGAATGTGGGTGTTGATAATTTTTTAGGCTGAAGCACAATTCAGTCCTGCTCATGGATGCTGACCTTGAGCAGAACATGCAGTAACTCTGCTTTTCCCAGCTCAGGGACTCCCATTCTTTGTTTTCCTGTCCTCCTTCTCCTCCTGCCTTTGATTTCAGATGACAATATACCACAAGTATCTGCAGCACACCTTTCCTTTCTACCCTCTGTAGTAGGACCCTGCAAGCCTTTATTTTTTGTCTATGCTGCTAGCAGCAGTGTAGCCTGATGGATTGCCTTGGACTCCTACTCTGTCTTTGGGATTAAAGGCTGCTAAGAAGATGTTCTACCCCCTCTGTGCATACTGTTTACATACATGCTCACGAGAGCTTTTCTCCATTCGCTATGAGTTTAAACTGTGGCACACCCAAAGAAGCACCAGTGACAAGATAGAGTAAATCATGGAGCATTCAATAAGTATCTCAGCTGTCCCATACAAAGAGAAACTTCAAATTTACACAGCAAAATAAATCTTCCATGCTCCTATTCTGTAATCCTATCTGGCATGCAGTTGGTACAGAAGCTGAGACAGGTCTGTGTTTCCCACAGCTCCACATTTCTGGTGGAAAAGTGCAAACAGCCTGCATGAGCAACTTCGCTTCCTCAGGCTTCAAGAGGGCTGAAGGAGAACACACACTCATCACTGTAGAAACCCTGTGTTACCCAGCAAAAGTCCTTCCAAAGTCCTTCTTTTTCTCATCATTCCACCTGGATGCAACGCGCACAGCAGGCACTGGATTACCACCATCTCCTGGACTAGGAGTGATCTGGCATTAATATTATCAGCACAAGTTTCCTTGGCTTGCCCTGGCTGGCACCTGCAGCCCACGAATGGAGGTCTTACTCCGGAAGATACATCCACCCCTGCTGTAATTCACTTAATTGCAGCCAACCATGGCATAACCTTTCACCATGAGGCCACTAGAACTGAGTCACCTACACTCTTTTAAAATAAGTCACTGAGCAGCCGTGACTTGGTAAAATGTTCAGTCACAACAGATGTGGGCAGAGTTAGGATTAGTCATGGAGGATGAAAAGGTTTCATCAGCTACTCACCCTTAGAAATGACATTTCCATACAAAATAAATTCAATTTTAAAAGCAACCAATTTCTTACATATGAAGGAAAGCCTCCTCCTAACTGAACTTTTGTTCACTGTGAGCATCAGTGAAGCCTTCAGTGAAAATTAGCCTGCTTCATGCCCTGGGCAGCAAGCACCTGCCTTTGAAAAGCTTCCTGTTAGCCTGTAGTCATCATCTGCTTCCAGTGGGTCTGCAGGGGAGAGATGAAAGGGTAGAAAATGCTTGGTTCCCTGACAGCAACCAAGAAAGAGCTGCCATCTGAGGAAAGTGACAGCAGAGATCAGTCCCAGAGAGTGGTTATATCTCCAGGATTTCACATGCACATTTCCTCTAGAGGAAGCCCAGAAAAATCCCTCAGTCTTCCTAAGGACAGCAGAATTTTTGGAGGAATGATAGGACTGAAGGGAAACAGAAACAAACAAGCCTGAACACACAAACACCCTTAAAACTTCATGTTCATGTTGACGTACGACTGAAAGTGAACATCTGCATTATTGTGTTCAAAACTGGAGGAAATAAAAACAAGCAAGAAGTTCCAACTGAAATCGTGGCCGAAATATTTTTCAGCTGCCTACTCAAAACCAGAATAATCAATACCTTGCATGCCTTGGGCACAAATCCCACCCAACAGGGGCTATAGAGCTGGGGCTGCCCAGTGTGGCTCTAGTCTCCAGCAACTGTGGCCACCCTGCCTATGTGTCCCTGCCATTTCAACCCCCCATTGCTCCCTGACAAATACAGAGGTCACAGCTCAGGGGCTGTTGCTTTCATCTCAGGGCACTTCTCCATCACAGTGACACCTACAGCAGTGTGATTCCAGCTCATGCCACAGGGGAAAGCAAACTGACACACAGCCCATGTTTGTAGCCCACATTGGCAATCATAGTGTGGATCATGGAGGAATTTCATCTGATAAGCAGCTTTTGCTCCAGAGGCGTCAAAAACTCACCTTTAAAAGGGATGCAACCATCTCTCCTGCAGATAAAAAACAAAAGCAAAAAGGACAGCATGAACTTTGCAGATGACCACTGCAAGCTGGGTCCTGTGAAGAATTCAGTGAAGGCGGGTGGACATAATAAAGCAAAATCATGGCTGGGATCTCACTCTTTGTGACCCAAATATTCAGCTAAAATACTTTAAATGAAAAAAGTCAGTTGGCTTGCAGTCGTCAGTCCATTGCGGATTGAAGAGAATCTCCAGTGGGAGAAAGAAGTTTATTAAACAGATGCTACAGGATACAGCAATATGGGGCAGAAAGGAAAACAATATGATGAAATTATTTCTGTCTCAGATACCCAGTACAGTTTTTATTAAAGTCAACAGGAATTGCACACATGGCTCCAGGAGCAGGCACAGTCCTTCAAAAGAGCATTAAAGCACAAGCTATGGGAAAAATTGAAAGGTTTGAACTCTATGATGATATCATAGATATGATAAATCGTATCAATCCTTGATGCTTTGATATAAACATCAAGACTTGCAAATCTTAAGTGTGCAAAACCCCAAGTCTAACATCTCAGAAGAACTGAAATTTTGCACCAGTTCCTCTGTAGAGAGGTGAAGGAGAAAACCCACAGGCAGTGCCAGGCAGAGGAAGAGGTTTGGTACTTCCTTCCCTAACAGAGAAGCAGAAGCATCTCTGTAGATGCAAGCAAGCAATAAATAAAGATTGCTGAGATTTTTTTGTGCATCAGACAGGGAAGATTTATACAACGTGTAGTGATCCTAGGTTGCTTTATACACTCTCTTGGCTTTTTCCCTCAGTCAGACCAGGTGAAGTATTTAGGGAACTTTGAATTTAATCACCCTTGGACTATGCCGAGTAACTGGTCTGTGTAAGGTAGCGATTAAGTGTCATGGCAAACTCCACAGCACTAGGCAAGATTTAGCTGCACAAAGAAATCCTCTCACTTAGCACTGACACACAACCCTCTTGCACTGTAGCTGCTGAAGAGTGCAAGCAACATTCCTCCAAAACCACAGACAAGAAATGAAACACCCGTCTGTAAATCCACCAGTAGACCCTACCAGCATCTGCAGCAGAACTACCAGCACCTCCCCACACCACAGTGCAGCAGGAGAGCTGTGACACCACAGAGTGCTCCCATGGCAACTAATGCCACCCAGCACTAGCCACCACTAGATCCCACCCCGTGGTGGCTGAAGATGACAACATCACCCATATAGCCATGTATACAGATGATGGCAGCCCAGCTGGTATGCGGTGACTAATGAAGCCACCAAGGGAGCTTAGGTACAGGGTCCTGGTTTGGTACCTGTCTGAAGAACCACCTTTCTGCTCTGTGGGGAATCACTGGCACAGTGAAAGGTCTGAGAAAGAGACAGGGAGTCAGGTGCCTTTCTCTCCCCCCCTGCAACAGAAACAGCAACAGCCTAAGCTTTCCACACTGTATGGAGTTACTCCATTCCATGCTCTCTTCCAAGGACTTCCACCTATTTATGCAGCGAAAAGCAAACAGAAGTCCTCAATGTGCTTTAATGACGTCATTGCACAGGTAATTTTCTACAAATCATTGCAGGCATGAATTTTGCCATCTAAGTTCATAACAGGTTTGTAAGTCACACTGTTGAAAGGCAACATCAACTCATACCAGTCAGCTGAGTGTGTGCCAAATGGAGGACTCTGGCCATGTGACAAATCAAAAACATCATTAACAAGGGAAACTTCTATTGCTATGGAAATTCTTGCCTCTGGCAAAAAGAATTTCTTCCTTTGGAGGGTAGTGCAGTATTAGAACAAGGATCCAGAGATGCAGTGGCATCTCCTGCCTAGAAGGTTTTCAAGACTTTACTGTACAAAACTGCTCCTCATGTGACCCAGCATCAATGGTACTCCTGCTTTAAGCTGAAAGTCAGACTAGAGCCCTTTGAAACCATCATTTCTATGATCCTGTGAGCTCTTTCTGCAATCCCAATATATTTCCAATGCAAATAATTTTCCACATTAAAAATGAAAGGGAATGAAGATTTGTATGGGACTAAACTATACTTGATCTTTAAATTATCTTGAAATTCATTTGATGGGCTTTTGAGAGGGATGTGTTAATGGACTCATGCAATGGTGCACAATAGTGCAGGCTATTTGGGGGCAGACCCTGAGATCAACATGACTGTTCCCACATGCAGTGATGCCAGCTCTCTTACTAAAGAAGGGAATGTCAGAGAGGGACAGTTGACCTTTAAGACGCCAGCACAGTTGTGTTAAATTTCCCTTCACAGTGAGAAGACTGTCAAATGTCACCATTCACTGTAGAACTGGGCAAAGCACAGGGCAAAGCTGTTGCTGCATTTTTCACACTACAGCTTTGAAGCAAGTAATTTTTATTTTTTGTCTCTTATTCAGGCCAGCAGCTCTAGCATGAAACTTTCCTCTGCAAAGCAAATTGAGTTGCAGAGACTTACTCATCTTCCCCAACTTCACGTGCTTTAAGATTTCCATAAAGCCGAGAACATCTGTATGAAGACTCTGTCCTTGATGGAGATAACTGTCAACACCAAGTCACATGTTATTCCACATGAGGACAGGCACTGTCATCTTAATCCAGTTTTGTATACCACAAATTGATTTCTCTGCAGGAGAGGAACAGTTGTTAAGTGTTATGTACTCTTTCATGTTGGAGCTGCCCCTTTTACCTTCCCATTGAAAAGTATCCTCAGTTAATCCAGGTTATGAATCAAGCCTCTTATTAGTCTCACCATACTGCTCTGCACAAGTATGACTAATGCTTGCCCTTTAAACATCCTGTGACACTTCTAACAAACTTGTTTGGAACTGACCAAATTCAGTTGAGGAAAGTCAAGACTGAGTAGGACACAGATAACAAAGCTCTGGATTTGTTCTGTTCCCTTCTCATTCAATTCTAGGGTTACGTAGGTCTGGCAGCTCCCAAAAACTGGCAGAGTGGGGATTCCTGCAGGGATGTCAGCAGGGTAGCAGGGGAGGGCCAGAGGAAGCCTGTCCTGGAGTCCTGCAAGGCAGGGCACAGGGAGCAGGGCTGCTGTAGTTGTCTATGTGCTGCACAGACACACGCAGGCAGCCCCTACCTAGGCTGAAATGTTACTGTCCTCAGTGTGGTGCATGGCTTTCAGGAAATACAACAGGACCTGGATGTGGATAAATCCTACAGAGATTCTCCAGCCCCTGCCTTTTTATTTCATTAGCAAGTAAACTTAATTTTTTTCCATAAACTTCTTGCATTATTTTCTTTTCTAAAATGCAAAGCCTTTGCAGTGCCTTTGGAAAGGCCTCAAAGTATGACATGTAGATGCCTGCTGAAGAAATAGATGGAGTTTGTAAAGCACCAAACTACAGTTTTTGAGTTTTAGTCTCAACAATTCCCAGTCAGACACCTGTGATATTGATTTAATCGTCGTCGTTGTTAACAATTTCACAGCTTAGAGAGGGGATCAGAATGGGAAGATTGAATTGCTCTGCTAGTCCTCAAAATGTGAGTGTGTGTGTGGACACGTACATGTGCATACATACAAATGTGTGAGCAGGGATAGAAAAAAAAGGAAAACTAAATAAACCGTGTAGGCTACTGCCATACATAGAGTGAGTTCAGGGGGTGATTGGGGGTTTTTTGTGATTTGTTTTTTGTGATTTTCTGTAAAATTTCTACAAAAGGCCTTAGCACTATAAAAGCTGGGTTTTAGGCTTCTTTGCCATTCACAAAATCTGGCATGACGTAGAGACTCTCAGCAGAAGTTATGAACCGACAGCTTCGGAGTGGGTGGTAAAATTAGACAAAACCAATCTTTCCATCCATCAGACACAGCAGCAGATGTGGGTGGGGACTAAGGGGCACCACAAAACAACACAAACAGCCCCCCAAAAACACCTTACAAGGAACAATGATATCATATGTTATTGCCAATGCTGACATAATGTTCATGCCATTTGCAAAATTGTTATGTTTCAAGCAAACCTTCCTGAAGTCTAAAAAATAATAGGTGCTGAGAAACAAGACAAAGATTTATTTTAAATATTCCTCTGTGTGGAACAGGCTCAGTTCTAAAGTAAGCATTATGGAAATAGCCAGGGCCCATTGAAAATTTCTAAAAAGGATAAACGTCACCTCCAATTATTTTGCCACATACTGAAAATATCTTGATCTTAAAATATCTTGAGAAAGACCCTGAGACTGAAAAAGTAATGCCTTTGCTCTCTCCATGTGTCAGTGGTGCTTCTCATCCCTCACTTTGTGAACTTAAAATTCAAAGAAAAATCTGTAAGAAAAGAAGAATGATGACAGAGACCTCAATACCCTGAAAATTGTCTCTCTGCTTCTCAAGGAATATCACTGTGGAAATGGTCACACTGATGTCAGCTCAGGAGAGGGTAACAATTGTGTTCTGTATTTTGGTACTAGCAGATACCACAGTGAAGAAATGTAACCTCATTGATTTCTGCTGCACTGATACTGTGAGATATTATCTTATCTTTAATATGCATTAGTGAAGGTGCTTAAAAAACAGTGTATCTTCACATCATCCTTTCTGTAAGGCAAGTTATTATTCAGTTCCACAAGGCCAAGAGCAAATTATACTAACATGACCAGGTTACAAAGAGCCTTAAATCTTTCCTGTGATGTAGCAGCTTGTCCTTAAGTATACATACCAGCCACACATCTACTGATCTCCCTGTGGTAAATGTGAGCTTTTTCTTTGGTTAAAGATGCTCTTTTGGGTATGTTGGACTATGCAAAAAAAACTGCATGCAACCTCATACCTATCATATTCTGTATCTAGCTGTATCTCCATCTGGAGCATTTTATAATCGTGAACATTTTATAGTGTTCAGAACCTTATCAACTGGACCACAGGAGTAATAGTGTCTATTTCTGTAACTTTTTTAAGGACAGCTGATAAATCATAGAATCATGGTTTGGGTTGGAAGAGACCTTAAAGATCATCTAGTTCCAAACCCCCTGTCATGGGCGGGGACACCTCCCACTAGATCAGGTAGGTGTGTATTAATTTTAAGTATGTGTATTAATTACTATTAAATTAAAGGTAAGTATTAATGCACTTACATATGTTTGTAGGGAGAGACTGAAGAACTTTTTTCTCACTGTGTGATGGGTGTGGGTGTGCCTGGTGAAGGGGACGAACCCAGCCAGAGAGGGCTCTTACACAGCATTATCAGCCCTTCATTCTAACAGATCTACTGGTCTTCCCTAATCCTCTGGATACTTTTACTCTGTGCAAGATCCTCATAAGGGTTAATGGCTTTTTCTTTGGCTAGAAAGTGCCCTGGATCCTATTTTATAAGTCATGGGTTGAAGCATAGAGAAACTTCGCTAACAGTCAGAAGTCAAGGGAGAAATCATAGGGAAGTGGACCTGACCACGACTAAATGAACCCAGTGTCCAGATCACGAGGCCTGGCCCTAAAGAGCTTACCCAGCTCATAGCAAAACAAGTGAGGATGACAAATATTTATGCAATGGGAATTTGGAATGCAAATGGTATGCATTGGGTAATGCAGAGCAAAAGTTCCCTGTGATAGCAGCAGGGTTTGCTTAAGGCTGTAGGGATACTAATGTCATAAGGTAGCACTACAATGATTTTATTTCATGTGTATTCCCTCACCCCTTGAGGTACCCCCCAGGCACCTCTGACTGTCACTGTAGAGCTGGTAGGTAAAATAAAAGCTCAGTCCCTCCCTGACACTCCATTCAAGGAAATTGTTTGGATGTGGTGGTTGGGTTTGCTTGTTTTCAAAGGGATGATGTGACTGTTATTGGAAAGATGAGTCAGTGAAATGAGTTTTGCCATTCTGGAGGCGAGAGTTATTGGCTGCTTTTTAAAAAAATGTAGCCCCAAGGGGCCTCAGGGCAGCCTCTGAATGAAGTTTTGGCGCCACACTCTTAATATTATCCCTGAGAAAAGAAAAATATCCTGAGTAATTTTTTGTCTATATCTGTGTTTAACAGAGTTTTCCCTTGCCTCAAGTAAGAGGGGTTTGTTTGATCAAAAGTGGGTGAACCATAAATATATGGCACTAAGCTGTATTATTTCATAGTAAAAGAGTAGATAAGCAGAAACATGGTTAAGAACAAAGTAATACTAAATTGGCCTGGTACATATTGTTATTTTCAATCTCTGCAATATCAGGCATGTGATATGGCAAAACTTCTTTTCCCTACAAAAAGCTCTCTGGAATCTAAGAGAAGAAAGGAGTTAAATATCAAATTAAAGAAATTACTTCTAAAGTGGGCATCATTTTTAAACTACATGCTTTTAGACCATTTGAAGATTATTTTTCTTGAATCAGAGTTACACCACTTAATGCAGTTATGCTAAAATGGAAAAGCATATATTTTGAAAACTTAATGACAAAGTAACTACAGATATTTTCTAACATTCGTTCTCTCTTTATAACCATCAGGGTTTATTTGCATATAAGCCCCAAAGCCTCTGCCTCTGATGAAAAACCTCATGTAGAATACCGTGTGTGATTTCAGGCTTTCCAGTCCAAGACAGACTCTGGAATACTCAAATGAGTCCTGCAGGGCACCACCGAAGTGCCTAGGGTTGCAGTATAAGTGGTATTTTAGAGGTGCAGAAGCCCCTTTTCATTTAAACTATTTTATTTTTATTCTGTTCTTTTCCCCTTCTTCTTCCTTCTCTGTGTTCAGTACCATTCCATGCCTAATTCACTTCACCCCAACTTGCGAAATAAGGATGTATAGCCCTGGTGAAGTGATTTGACTTCACCAGGTTTCTAGGTGCAGCTTCAGAGAGTGTTGTTGTTCCTTAAAAACTGAAACCTGACCCTCTACTTCCCTGTTACTAGGCAGAGAGGGGCTGGTAAAAGTCCCTATGGAATTTTTCAAAGGTCAGTGAGCCTTACTTGCTGTGGTTGACAATTCAGAGCCACCCTTTGCCCTCCCCATTGCAGAGCTTCAGGCAGCATCACTTCCTTTCAGTCAGCCAGACTGGCTCCCTCAAACCCCCTTGGTGTTGTCTGTTCAGTAAATTAAAGACACTGTATATCAAAATAGGTCAGAATCAGGCTTCCTAGAGCACAGAAATTCTCTCCCTTGACTTTGTTCTCCTTGACTCGTTCACTCTACTTATTAATTCTGCCTTATTCAACTTTCTTTTTCACTCTTCCATTTTTCTGTCTAATATTTTACCAAATTTACTTACTGTTTGATCTCCGAGAACATTTCTTTAACCCTACTTGTCTTACAAAATCCCTTTTCTTCTATTTCTGGCTTAACCTCTTTTTTTCATTGCTACAATTACCTCTCTTATTCTTTCTTGTCTTCTTCCTTTCTGAAAATAATAAAAAAAAGTTCTTAAGTCCCTTTTCCTAGTTTCTTCATCCTCTCATATTTTCTCACCTGTGTCTTCTGTCTCCTTTTGTGCTGTAAACCTTTTTTAATTTCACCTGGCTTCTCACCGCTCAATACTCCAGGTTGTTTCTCTGCTATAGTTTCCCAGTTCATTTTCCATGGCACTCTCTCTGTTGCTAAATAAATGGCCTTTTCCCCTGCTGTTGGTGTTGGCCATATTACATTATTCTTTTGCCGCCAAAATACTCCCAGATTATGAGTGAAGTTGCTAGAACACTC